CCCCCCCCCCCCCGAAAGCAACTTCTGGGTATGATCTGTTTAATCTGGTTCTTCCTTTTAGATAGGCTGCAGACGACAGGGGTTGCATGTAGCACAGGGAGAGCATGTTAAAAGAGCAAAAGGTTTTTCATCTCACCTGCATTTCCTCTGGAGAAAAGATGGGATGTTAAATGTAACAAATCTCTGTGCACTTCCATGAGAAGAATCAGAAGATGGATTCTCCTGGACCTTTTTATAGCCGAGGTACAGTATCTTTTCCTTAAAACTTCAATACATGTTTGTGTGGGGAGAAGGGTGCGCGCACACACACACACACACACACAGGACCAACACACAAACACGCACGCACACACACACTATAGCCGAGGTACAGTATCTTTTCCTTAAACTTCAATACATGTGTGTGGGGGGAGAGGGGTGCGCACATACGCACACACAGGACCAACACGCACGCACGCACACACACATTGAACCACCCCCAAGAACAAAGGATAAGTGCTTTCTTTGCTAATGTGGTGTAGACCCCTTAATAATATCTTCTACCTCCTTCCCTCCGCTTCCCCTCCAGGTTAAGAGACAGTGTTTGGGTTCCAAACCCAAGGTGATGCTTCTGAGATTCCCTTGTGTTTGTCAGCTCTAAAAGGGCCAAAATGAGGAAATCTCAGAGTGCTCTATTGGAACAAATGTCTTTCTGGCACTACTGCTTGGGGAAGGGCTGACAGATGCATCTTACCCCACTTTAGCACATTTGCTTTGTGAGCCTTTCCTTTGAAGGTATTGTCACTATTCGAATTGCAGAAGCTTTCCAGTTACTATTTGTTTGTTTTTCCATTCTCTGTACATAGGCCAATCTTGGCACTCTTTGTCATTTTTTAAAAGTACTCTCCAGGCATGTAAGGGGATGAAGAAAGATGCTGTGAAGGAGGTCTTTCCATCATTTTAATAATCTAAAGCTGTGGTCCCCAACCTTTTCTGAACTGCGGACTGGTTGGGGGGATCTGTGTGTGGGAGGGGTCGGGTGTGCATGTGGGTGGGGTAGGGGGGCAGGAGGTCTGTCTCTGCGGCCCGGTCCTGCCATGGCCACGGACTGTCACCGGGCCACGGACTGGGGTTTGGGGATCCCTGATCTAGAGCATTTCAGTCCCATTGAAAGTGGGATTCAGAAATTCCATCTGGGCTGACTTTCCCAACCCTCTTCATAGAGTGAACTTGGTGGCAAAGGAGCAGCATCAATGTATGTGAAGTAGGTGAGTATTACAAGCCAGCCTGTCTCTCTCGGGAGGTGTGTTTGACTTCCAGAAACTAGTCAGGGCTGTATCAGTGCCGGCTGCCGCCTCTTCATGTTCTTTTCCTTGGTGGGTTACCCATGCATCCCAGCCTCTCGTTTATCAAGCATCACAAGCCTGAAAAAGAAGCTGCCTTGACTTGGTGTATAACCTATCTCTTTAATTTGGTGCTTTCTTTTAGATGGCTACGGACTACAAAGTCGCACGGGGAACACGTAGCGAGAAAGTTCCAAGTCATGCGGTGGGGCTTAGACCGAGCTGCCCACAACCTTTCAAAGAGACCTTTTTGTCCATGGTGCTCTGTGTACAGCTTCCAGACTGATTCAGTGAGCTGAGTCTTTATGCCAGCATTAGCTTAGTACATCTTAACATTTCCAGACAGTTGCGAGTCATCCTGGGGCTGGGTCTCACTCTGCTCGATGGAAAGAAGCTCTGTGCAGTGTCGGGGCTTCCAAGCTCTTATAGGATGGCAGTGTATTAGTCTCAGCTTCAACAGAGACACAGTGCGGGGCATCAGGATCAGTTAATACTTTGCCGCAGACTGCAGGGCTGTAACTGCTGGGGGTAGGAAAGTCAGATGATCCCTTGGAGAACAGCCGGTGGAAAGCCAAGATGCAGGTGATGACAAGCAAATCCAGAATCAATTCCACCAGCTCTACCACAGAGAGAACCGATGAACCAAACCAGAGACTCCACTGGTTGCCCAACTGTGAAAGCAGTGTTACCACCTGCACAATGAAAGTCAGAAAAATGAGGATTTTCCTCCCCCCATTTCAGAAATACCCTTTGCTTCTAAGGGAGTAGCTACATTAGTCTGCTACAGCAAAAAATAACAGGGACTGTGGTGGCACCTTAACATCTAACAAGCTTTATTTGCCATAGGTTTTGGTGTGCTGTGGCCCAATGCTCCCCATTTCCCTTACTCCATGCTTTCAGACTTGTCTAAGTCATGACTAAACTTATTGCTGCATGAAGTTTTTTAAAGAGTCGTTCTATGAATTGCAACCCAGAAAAGAATACCATATCCAGTCTACCTGAAAATAGCAGTAATAATTTTGTTGTCGCGCCCCCCACAAGGCTGTTTGTATGCAGCAATCAGATTTCAGATTAGAATCTGAAGTATATATTTTATGTCCAAATTTGACCCAAAATATAACACTTGCATTTCAAAATTGCTGTCAAACGTTATATATTTTATGTCCAAATTTGACCCAAAATGTAACACCTGCATTTCAAAATTGCTGTCAAACATTATCATATACGTTGATTTGCTGAAGCAAATACAAAATGTACTGCAGGATGTATATTATTGCTGAGAAAAATCTGATCCCTCATGCCAGCTGTCACTGTCAAATATGGACAGCTGCAGGAAACTATTTGGATAACAAATGCTAGTATTGGTCAAATCCTTGATGAAGATCTGGGAGTGTAAAAAGCATTAAGAGCTACTCCCCATCAAAATCAGCACAACAGAATTAAGGAAGGGAATTCTTTTCAGCTCTGTCTCCAATGCAGAGGTCCTGCTTCTCACTCTACAAAGAATGGACTTTTTCAGAAGTTGAAATTAACTCCACGTCTTTCTACTCTGTTGTTGGGTAGGAAAGTAAAATCATGTAGCCTTTGTCTTGAGACAAACTGCAATGAGTTAGCTTTTACCAAGGGCTGGTGACAGTTGGGGGAGGAGAGGTTTGTACTGCCCAGCATCAGTGATGACACAGACATTTTTTATCATACACATGCTTTTTAAATGGTACTCCAAATTTTGGTGGCCCTGGGGAAAGGATCTCCACAACTATAAAAATGCTGTGATTCGAGTACTGGGGAAATGCAACATGCTTAAAACAAAAGAATTTCTTGGAAGGAAGAGCTCAACGTACATGACATAAACAATTTGTACTTCCAGACCAGGGATGGGCAATTATGTCCTTTCTGATGTCTTTGTCCTATAAATCCCATTCAGCTCTAACCAACATAACCAAGAGTGAGTGATTCTGGGAGTCTGTATGGTGGGCCCTTCCCAGCATGTTCTTGTGGCTGCTGACTGGCAGGCCTTATAAGCATCTGCATGAAAAGATGGGAGTTTTTTAAAGGGTTGTGTGTATGTGTTATTGGTGATGTTAGCCTCACAGTTCAGGAGGTAGGCACTAAAATGATACTGAACCAAATACCTACTGTAAAAGCAGGAGTCTCCCCGTTGCTTTTGTAGTTCCACTCCTCAAAAAATACATTCACCTTTGCAATTCCATTCCTGGGAATAAAAGATGGATTGAATGAACCCAGATGGGTAAAAAAAAAAATGGCAGCTCTATCAGGATCCAAGCCTTCCAAATCTACAGGCCAAGATTCCCAAGTTGTCAACAGTTCTCTAAGCCTACAAATCCTGCTATTCCAGTTTTATTTTACAAACTCCCCTTTTGTCCTTCAGTTATCTGATCACAAACATGAAAATAAATGTGAGCATCAATTCAGAGAGGTCATAATTTCTTATTTCACCTTCTAAAACCTGAAAAGTACACCAAAGAGACCAGGTGGACTCTTAACATCAGCCAAGCAGGATGGAAAACTGAAGAGGACACCTACTTCCAACCACTAGGTAATACTATTCATTTGACTTTAATCTGGCTCCAATTGGCTCTGCCTAATGGGTGGACTAAGTTTTAGCCCCAGTTCCTGATGAAACCTCACCAGGGTTTTATGTTGTCCTGTTCACCAGCCAAATAGGAACTTTGCAGTTTCAAAAGAAGGCAATATAAGTATGTGAATTGGGGCAGGGCAGGGGGACGTGCAAACTATCTGGTGATTCTTTGTTTGCAGATCTGGGGGTTGATACTAATCAACAGCTACCCGGAGTATAGTCTGAAAGCCGCCTCTCCAAAACAGCCTATGTTTTTGTAACTCACCTCTAAGAAGTAGACCTGGCACAGCTGCTTGCTGTAAAGTTTTGAGACTCATTTATAATTTTTCTGCACTGTTTCTAAAATATCAGTGCATGGCCTGAAGAAGTGAAAGTCAACCTTGAAAGCTTGCTGACAATATAAGTATGTGCATTGGGGCAGGGCTGGGGGACGTGCAAACTATCTGGGGATTCTTTGTTTGCGGATCTGGGGGTTGATATTTAATCAACAGGTACCCGGAGTATAGTCTGAAAGCCGCCTCTCCAAAACAGCCTATGTTTTTGTAACTCACCTCTAAGAAGTAGACCTGGCACAGCTGCTTGCTGTAAAGTTTTGAGACTCATTTATAATTTTTCTGCACTGTTTCTAAAATATCAGTGCATGGCCTGGAAAAGTGAAAGTCAACCTGCTGCTTGACTTTTTTTAAGTGATCTGGTGGCTTTGTTCCCTCCCCCCCAATAATTTGTGTTTATTATTTGTTTACTTTTTCAACAACCTATAAAATGTTATGGAGAACTGGATTTCTGTATTTGTTAATCTTCCAGAATTTTTCTCCATAATTCCAAAAACCATACCTTTAATTCCAGTAATCGTAAAAGTTCTGCCCCCAAGCTGGCTTTTCCTCTATCTTGGAATGCACTACACTGTTGTTCTTCACCAAAACTTTATCAGAAGAGGAGATTATGACTGTTGTGATACATTTCCCATTTCCCCATCTTTGTTCAATCTTTGGACTTGTGTTCCCATTGCTTGTTCAATGTTGCCTGCTACTGGAGCCCTGAATGTTTATTTTTTACTGCAGGTGGCGCTCTTACCTCTTGGATGTGATGTTGTACTTGTTCTGCAGAGACAGCACTTGGAATACCCAGGCCTGGAGGAACAGGAAACATACGCCAAAGCAGAGGATTAAAAATCAGCCTGCGCAATTGGGGAGATGCCTACCTGTTACACTTAAATGCACTTGACTGAGATTCAATGCGTTGTTTTTTTAATAAGAACCCTCTTTAGAAGACAGGATTTCAGTGAAGACGTGGGAGCAGAGGGGCAGTTACTTCTCCCTAAAGCTTCTTCGTGCCAAACTGGTGTTTTAAAAGGGTGTGTGATATAAATACGTACAGTACTTAGAATCCTGCTTGCAGGGAAAGGGTTAAGTTGATTGACTCTCATCTCCTCTCTCTTTTGAAGTTGATTTTTATTTTAGAAAAGTGGCATTATGGCTATATGTATTTGTAATTAGACCTTCAGTTCTTACTGGGTATTGTGTGTGTGTATGTGTTGGCATTTATACAAGGAACCAAAATAGCTTACCTGAGACGCAGCAGAAGGCCAGCGTGAGTACCCAGCTGACAGCTGGTACTCTGTCATTCTGAAAAAAAGGCATGGCAGAGGCATAATTGGCATGGGAATCTCCCTTATATTTCAGTGTTACTTAATAATGCAATTATCTTAGAACTGCAGGGCTGGAAGGGACCCACGGATCATTGAGTCCAGCCCATGTCAAGGAGGCACAGTGGGGAATTGAACTCCCAACCTCTGGCTCCACAACCAGATGCCTACACCACTGAGCTACCCAGCAGAAGCAACTTAAGTCCCTACAGTTCTAAGGTGGTGGTGGTGGTGAAGTCCTCCTTCTGTTATTTAGGCCTGGATTAAATTGTGCCTTGCTTTCATAGTTTAGTAGGGCAAAGTGCAAAACTAGAGCCTCTGTGGTGCCATTGTCTTCCAATACATTGGGTGGGAAATGTAACCCTCCAAGTATTGTTGGATTGCAGATCCGATCAGCCCAATTCCAAATAAACAGTGGTGAGGAATGATGGGAGTTGTGATCCAAGGCCATCTGGAACGCAACACATCATAAACAGTCTTAGTAACCTGTGCTCTGTTGGGACTGAAATGATCATCTGGAGAAAAATAGACAGCAATAGTCTGTGCCAAAAAAGGTCACTGGACACCCCTGCATTATGAGATTCCTAGAGAATGCTTAGGTTTGTGAGGGCAACATGGAATATTGTGTTAGCTACAAATCCTGTTTTTCTCCATTTCACTGAACTGAAAATATTCACTGAATATTTCTGTACTGCCAAGCAAGCTCTGCGGAATTTGACCAGGCCAAGGAATGTGACTCCACAAGTTTTGAAGCCTACTTACTTGCAGGGTTTCCGACATTTGGTGAAACAGCCCAGATGGTCTGCTTTGAATTCGGCCTGGAGTTTGTAATAACAATAACCTAAGCAGGAGGCAGAAAAACGTACAAGAAGTTAATGGTGCATGGTGGGTACATGAGACTGGAGCCCTAACGTCTGGCACCACTGCAAGCATGGGGGTAAACAGGGTGGGGTAGGATTAGGGTTTATAGAAACGTGACATAGGTGGGAACATGGACTCCTTCTCGTCTTTTGCTTGTACTCACCCCAGGCGATGTGTTTAGTGTAGTCGCAATAAACTGCCCCAGCAGGTAAGGGATAGATGTAATGACCACAGCCACACTGTTCTACCATGCTGTTCTGAAAACAGGACCGAATGCAGACCTAGGAGCAGAGGAAGAAGAAGAACCTGGATAATATGTCAGCCTTTGTCTCTCTCTTATGGGGAGCATACATTCATATATATATGTATTATTTGTACGATCAACAGATCAGATGTGAATAACACAGAACGACTGCATAAGAATAAACAGAATAAATACAACTATAATATACATTATGTGCAGCAGACTCTTAGGGAGACAAATTCCATAAATAATAGTTAGGAGCATAACCCCACTCCCAATGCATACATATTCATATATGCATACATACATATATGCATATAGCCTGTCTAGGAGAAGGAAAACTCCCACTGAGGCGCCACCATCGCCGTCCATGCCATGAGGGAACAGGCTGGGTAGGTGGGGCTCGTCAGCCCTGGAAGGCAGCCCATGTAGGAGAAGGAAAACTCCGATTCCAAACCTCCACTGCCTTGTGGCTATATCCACTGATGCAAAAGGGTTCAAGAGTTAACTTTGAGGCAAAATCTGGAGCTGGAGTCCGGGAGGCAGTTCCTGTCATTCTGTCAATTCCTGCGATGTTGCTGAAACCAGTTGTATTGGCTCTTGCCTTTCCATTGGACTATTTCAGTGATGTGGAGAGGGGGGATTTGCTGGCTGGGTAACAGCCTATCCTCCACATTATCTTACCCAGGATTCGTGCCCTGGAGAGGACAGTCCAGCTTCGCGTACAGCGTCAAAACACTAGACGCTGTTCCAAGTCCTCCATACAGAGCACGTTACCATAGTCTCTCAAGACTGAAGGATGCCTATGACATGTAGATATTGAGACGATTAAGTCACCATTTCTCGCCTGCAGACTAGTGCTGCTGCACAGAAACTGGCCATTTCAATCGTTACTGATGGACACTGGTCTGCCAGCAGATAACATGTATAGTACTCATCATCTCTTCCAGGAAGGCTTTGCAAAATTGGATGAATAAAAGTATCACGGAAACCAGTGTAAAAGGAGCAATACAACAGAACATGGCCAACTGTCTCCACCACACCAGCCTCACAAGGACATAAGCGCTCTTCTTAGGGAATGTTCTTGTATCTGCCTTCCAGCAGGACGTGCATGAAGGAAGTACATTAAACTTTGCTAATGTAAAAGCTTTTCTATATTTTGGAAGGGTCAGAATATTCAAATAGATTGTGGGTAAAAAGGCCTGACCATAATCTCTAAAGCCAGGATGGGGCGTAGCTATGCTGACATGGTGTTGCAGCTCATTGTCTGTGATGCGCTGGTGTAGTTCCTCTTTTGTTTTTGGACCCCCCATTAACAAAATAGCACTTCTCGAGAGGCACAAATTATTTAATTTCTCATCCATAGATCTTTCCCATCTGGCCTGAAACTTATCAGTTAGCACTAAGGGAGCCAACCCCACAGGGGTGAAGAACATTTTTAACCAAAAATTCAGCTTAAGTATCCATGCCTGACACTCTATCAACATCTGGCCTGATTCTAGTCCTAAAAGTACATTTGGCACACAACTCAGGAGTCCAAGAATAGTTCTCAGAAATTTCATTTCAGTGGACTCCATTGTGGTAAAATTTCTGTATCTACACCATTGTGCACCATATAACATCTGTGCTAACACCTTGGCATTGAAGACACTGATAGTATATGCTGACCTCCTTTTGCAAAGAAAAACAGTATGAGTGACTTAATACTTCTCTGAGCATTTGCAATAGCGTTGGATAACTGAGCCTTCCAAGATCCTGAGGACTGAAACATCACACCCAGATATTTATATGATTTGACTTGCTCAATTGGATGGTCATTTACAGTATTTGCCATTTATGTGTGATTCGTTTCCTGTTAAACACTAAGACTTTTGATTTATCATAATTAATTACTAACTCCTCAGTTTTACAATA